TAGTCCCAGCTACTTGGGAGGCTGAGGCAGAAAGATTGCTTGAGCCCAGGAGTTTGAGGTTGCTGTGAGCTAGGCTGACACCACGGCACTCTAGCCCACGCAACACAGTGAGACTCTGTCTCAAAAAAAAAAACCTTCCCTGTCCCTTCTTTCCCTGAGATAATACAGATCCCTGACAAAGATTACCCAGATGGACAAAAAATGGAAAATGCATCTGAAAGATATTCAAAGGAAAGCTATTTCCAATGATAATGAATATGCATTGCCAGCTTTTGCCAAGGCCAATCACACCTAAGGTGGGCTCTGCCTATAAAAGGACAAAAGCCTTGAAATCCTTTAGGACGCTCTTCCAATGCCCCACCGACCTCTCACTTGAGCCTCCTCCCGCTCCTTCCTGGATTGTCCACGTCTTCAAACACCCGCTCTTTGAGGGCCTGTGTCTCCCTTCCCTTCCCTATGGCATCAGTTCATTCCCACGGGAGGAGCAGGTTCTCCAGGTGCTGGTTCTTGCACCAACATGCAGGAGGGATGCTGCCCTGGTTACAGCAACGTGGAAAGCCTGCCATCTGCACGGCCGAGATCAATGCTTGCTGAGTAAGTGGTTGAATGAAACACTCATCAAGAGATGCTTTCTAGCTTGAAAGATAAACAGCCACTTCCTCCCATTCTCTTCCAATTTATCTTTACACCTCTCTGTAAGGCAGAGTGTATGTGAGAGTGAGCAACCGCAAGGACCTCCTTTCACTCTGACAGTGTTTCCCACTCCCACGTTCAACTCCTGGAACTTGCAACCTCACCTTTGTAATTTGGATTTCTCACAAATATTGCAGGGTTCTGTGATAAAAACATCTCTCCCCAAGGGTAGGTATGACTGATTTAGGGCTCAACTTCAAAACAACCAAGATATTCCTTTTGGACTGCTAATAAGCTCCATTATTTTCTAGTTATTTTTTTCCTCTGAAATAAATTGGAGCATTTTTCTTCTTCATACTCCCAAATTAATAACGCCAAGTCTGGCATCAAAAGATCAGAAGATAAAATCTTTTGGTGTTATCAGGATAATTATGGAACACTTTTAAGGTACTCGGGAATTCATAATACTCGGTCAATTTCCATTCAACAAGTTTTTTTTCAAAATAACTATAAAATTTATCTGGGCCCCCCCAAGGCTGAGGACTGTAGACTGGGTTACACTGCCAGGTTACCTTGGAGGGTGCTCTCCCATTCAGAAAATATTTCATCATCCATTCTACAAATATTTATTGAGCAACTTGAGTCATACCCTGTGGTGCGTTGGGGGATAAAAGGGTAAGCAAAGCACACCACCTCTGGGGGAGGCCAGAGACATCTGGAACCACTCATCCCAAGGAGCCCATCTGACTCACATAAGAATGGTCCCCTTCCCAAAGGCTTTATACTTTATCCCACAGAGGGAGGGCCTCCCTTCCCACGTCAGATCATCTAAATCTATGCCTTGTGAGCTCTTGAATGCTAAACTGGAAGCCTGTATAGCACGCAGACGATGGCATGTAATTAACTCAGGTGTCCTTATCTAAATTTAACAGTAGACATCATACATACTACAGCAAAAGTTCTCTTCCATTTAAGGGCTGCCTGTCAACTTTAGAAATAAAATTAAAGCATATCTTAACCTTCCCCTTATATGATACTTCCACTTGTATGATACAAAAGCTCCGCTGGACATGGCTTTTTTTTTTTTTTTGAGACAGGTTCTTGCTGTCGCCCAGGCTAGAGTGCAGTGGCTCAATCATAACTCACTACAGCCTTGAATTCCTAGGCTCAAGCAATCCTCCTGCCTCAGCCTCCTGAGTAGCTGGGCTACAAGCACGTGCTTCCACACCTAATTTTTAAAATATTTTTACAGACAGGGTCTCACTATGTTGCCAGGGTGGTCTCAAACTCCTGGCCTTAAGTGATCCTCCCACCTCAGTCTCCCAAAGTGCTGAGATCATAGGCACGAACCACCATTCCCTGCCTGGATGTGGCTTCTTAAACCAGATCCCAATGACAATAATATGTTTAGAGTTGGAAGTTAATTTGGTAGATTCTGAAAGTATATCTATGTGAATAGTAGGCTTTTAGCAGATTTTGGCAAAGCATTTGTAATACACAAGTGTATGATATCATGAGGTTTGGAGAACACACCACGAGGGAGGCCCAGATAATCAGATATTTATGTAACAAGATGAACAGTTTTTTATAAGTCTTGATTTCAGGGTAACTTTCCTTTCATTAATGACCAATTTCCCACATGAGGTTTTTTTTTTTTTTTTTTTTGAGACAGAGTCTCACTGTGTTGCCTGGGCTAGAGTGCCGTAGGTCATCCTAGCTCACAGCAACCTCAAACTCCTGGGCTCAAGCGATCCTCCTGCCTCAGCCTCCCGAGTAGCTGGGACTACAGGCATGCGCTACCATGCCTGGCTAATTTTTTCTATATATTTTTAGTTGTCCAGCTAATTTCTTTCCATTTTTTTTTTAGTAGAGATGGGGTCTCGCTCTTGCTTAGGCTGGTCTCGAACTCCTGAGCTCAAATGATCCGCACACCTCAGCCTCCCAGAGTGCTAGGATTACAGGCGTGAGCCACAGTGCCCAGCCCCACACGAGGTTTTTATTTTCCACTTTTTCTTCTTCCTGATGACCTATGCCAAGGAATTCAACATCCTTCAACCCAAGGCTAAGGAAATCCTCCCCCACATCTCCACCCCCACCCCCACGCCTTATTGGTCAGGAAAGCGACAAAAGGGCCTTTGTCACACTGGCTTTACCCATTCACTGATAAGACACTGGACGAATTGGACACCAGGTAGTTATTCTGTAAGCCAGCAGGGTGAAGAGAAATTGGCTCGCAGTCTGCTTTGTTTATCTGTTCCTAAGAATGTTCCAAAGTATAGCCGGCTAGTTCCTGTAGTCTGTGTCTAAGCAGGATAATCTTAATTGCTTTACCAACTATTTTTCTTTTCCCTAAGGTAATCACGCCCTACATTAAACTCAGAACTTACAGCTCTATCAGTTTGGATAGGCAAAATCTAATGTGAAGTGAGGAAACAGGCACAGTAATACATTAAACTGCCCAGGCTTGCAAAAGATGGACCAACACCATAGCTGGAAGTCGTGGGAACATAATGGGGTAAGATTTACCCTGCCCCTAACTCCAACAATTAATCATCGGCAGCAAATAAATTATAAATGTTATTTTAATGAGTCTTCTTACTTTACCTCAAATACAAGAACTTGTACATAAACATGAAAAATACACTTTAAAGTATACTTTGTAAGCTTCATATTTTACTGAAGTAAAATATGGTATATTTGGAATTTCCTTGAGTATCGCAACAATTCAATTATCCAACATAATCATTCCATTCAGAATGAGGCTTTTTGCCATGTCCAAAAATTAAATCTATCCTCAACAACCAAAAATAATTTACTATTATTAGGGTAGTCAAGAAATATGTTGCAAGTTTGGAAAGTGGTTTCAGTTGTTCCACAGCCATTCTGAGCAAAACAGCGCCAAAAAACCCAAATACATATGATCTCAGGACAACAGCTCTGAAGGCGCCTTGGCTTACTTGAACATCTAAGCTTTGGTCTGTCTGTCTAAAAAGGGCTTTATTACTGCACCACTGGGAAGAGAATTGTGGCTTCCAACTAATCTCAACACAAGCACACACACAGGAACTTCACCACCTTCAGGACGGGTTCTGGTTTCCAAAGTGCCCATTTACACCCACGTTCCTTTGTCAAAGGGAAGGGGCCTTTCCATATGTTAAGACGTGTATGTAAAATTGTCATTGTTTCTCTGCTCTTTGCTGCAACTCCACGAAGCACTCCTTACTTCTTCCTTTGGTCAAATTTTCTAATACTCTAAGTACAAGTGAAAAAAACTGCAAATGTTTCCGACTTAGCCATTAACCAACTCATTTCTCCACACTTCTTTTGTCCCTTCCCTGGAAGGCACTTGCATACTGATGACTCTCATTTGTAAAGTTCAGTCTGTTTCACTCCCAGTGTCACTCTAGATTGCATATCAAACATTTATACTGAGCACTCTTGGTTACCATGAGATAATGAAACCAAGAGTTGTATAAAATGCAACTTCTTACCACAAAGGACGCTAACAACGTGTTGTTTCTATGTCTCACTTGTCCGAGATGACCACGGACACAGAGGAGAGATCACAAGAGGATAATGCTGTTAATAGTGAATGCTTCTTTGCCATGACGACGGGCTGTGAATTTATGCTGATTAAAACATGTTAAGGGAAGTCTGAACTAAAAGCAGGAAATTCAAAGTATAGACAGGAA